ATCTTACCTGAAATAACTAATAAACACTGACAAACTATCCTACATAGCCTCTGCTTCCTGCCTCTCAGCCACTTTTGAATCCAACATGCTGCCTTGCCTTGGAACTCATGGGCTCTTACTTTCTTGACCACTCTACCAAAACAGACCCTATCTAAACCCTTGATAAAGATTGTGTTGACTGCTTCCAATGCATTAGTCTCATCAACACTCGTGGTTACCTAACTAACTTAAAAAATGGCTAACCAAGGAAGTTAGAGTGTATTAAGTTGAACAAAAGTCAGAAATAGCTCTGAAGACTGGGCTAGATCTAGCAAAAGAGGACTGAAAAGATGATAGACAATTAACTACAAGGGCAAACTGGGGAGGAATATCAAAACTGACAATAAGAACTTCTTTAAATCTATAAAAGGGAAAGGCGGGGTCAAAGTGGCCCCTTAGAAAATGAATTTGTGGAGACCATTATGGGGAGCAGTGAAATAGCAAAGGAGTTAAACAGATATTTTGTCTCAGTCTTTACAGTGGAAGATACTTCAAACCTTCCATTAATACCAAAGAATACATTGGAGGAATTAAGGACTAATGCCTTCACCAGAGAAGTAGGTTTAGATAAATTAATGGAGCTAAAGGCAGACAGGTCCCCTGAGCCTCATGGCTTACATCCTACGATCCTAAAGTAGCTACAGAGATAATGGATGCATTGGTTGTAATTTTCTAAGAATCCTTTCATTCTGGAGAAGCACCGGAGGATTGGAAAACTACCAATGTGACACCCCTATTCAGAAAAGGAGGGAGGTAAAAAGCAGGTCATTATAGGCCAATTGGCCTAACATGTCTTGTTGAAGAATGTTGGAATCAATTATTAAGAAAGTACTAGCAGAATATTTGGAAATCATAATCTAAGCAAATAGTCAGTATGACTTCATGACAGATCAGCAGTGGCTGTTTAATTTATTAGAGTTTTTCAAGGAAGACTGATCCAGAATGGATGGTGGGGAACTAGTAGATGTGTTGTATTGGACTTTTGCAAGATGTTTGACAAGGTACCTCACTGAAGGTTAAGACGGAAGATACGAGCCTGGTATTGGCATGGATGGAGAACTGGCTCATAGGCAGGAGTGAGGATAAAGGGTTCTTTTTCAGCTTGGTGACCCACGACCAGTGGGATTCCACGGATATCAGTGCTGCGACTGCCGCTGTTCACAATATAGCAATGACTTGGAGGAAGGAAGCAAATGTACAGTAGACAAATTTGCAGACGACAAAAATAGGTAGAAGGGCAAGTTGTGAGAAAGATACAAGCAGTTTACAAAGAGAAAGTTGCAACACAAGGGGACTTGAGGATACTTTTGCGTGAAAGAAAGCTGGAACACGTGTAGCAGGTAATCAGGAAGGCTAATGGAATGTTGGCCCTTTATTTCTAAGGGGTAGAGATGTCTTACTGAAACAGTATAAGGTGCTGGTGAGACCACCAATAGATTACCTCCCTATCAGGCCAACTTTTCTCTGAGTTATTCTCTTGCTGTTTACGTTTTTTTTTAAAAAGCCCTTTTATGATTTGCTTTGTTCTATCCACTGGTGTTTTCTCATGCAGTCTCTCAGCTTTCTGAGTTTCTTAAGTTCCCCTTGCACTTTTTTATAATCTGTAGGAAGTCTGACATTGAGCCCTTTGGTACCTGCTATATGTTCTAGTTACTGTCCCTCTGATTAGAAACAGTTTCATGTAAATATTATTTACATACCTGAAATATTAAGAAAAATTGTGAATGTGCTTTTGCTAAAGGAAGAGAGTTTTAAAACAGCTTATTTAAAAAGAATCGGTCAACTGTGTGACAGTCCCAGAAGACCATGGGCTACTTTCTCATTACAGAGAGATGACCTGTGGTTAATGTAACCTGAGCGTCACCATACCTCAGGCAAGGGACTAGGTTGAGAAGACAGAGTTTTCGTCATGACCTCAGTCGGTATAGGAGTTGAACCTGTTAAGTCAACCAAATCCACTATGGGATAATACAAATATATTTATTTACACATTTAATAATTAATAGGACAGTGCTCATTCTTTATTTGTACAAAACCTCAAAGGCATATAAGAGTTCCAATTCAAGAATCCATCTCAAAATAAAAATAAAATTTAAATTGAAAAAAAAAATCCCACAAATTCAACCTGTGTGTGGAACTGATGATAATAACTTCAAACATTCTCTGCCTTTTATTCCCAGATGTTTTTGTTTTGATGTGTCTAATTGCGGTGGTTATACTTTGCATGTTGACTGTCTTTTGCATAATTAACTTCTTTATCTGTCCTCCTTTTGTTTTCCCTCATGTAAAACTTTATGACATCTCTGGAGAGCACCTTGACCACAAGCCGTCTTAAGACTGGTATCATTAGCTGAAAGCCTTGAATGTTTGAAGCAGCCAAAATGCATTCTGCAATAATTGCACTTCTGAGCTTAAAAGCTGTTTACTAATTTTAACAAATAATTGGCAGATACACAAAAGCACAAATTCAGAGCATGATGCAGCATTGAAGGAGGCTAATTAGTTTATGTTGGCTTTCTTAGTTCCACTTCCCTACTTGCTCTCAGAACCCTTGCATTTTTTGCCTTGACAAGTTCTTTTGCCCTAACAGAACATTGTGCCAAGCTGCTACTTTAGTCTTATGCAATGCACGATAGTAATCATTTCAAACTGGCCAATGGCCATATTATCTGAACAAAAGGAATCGAATATTTTAAGGACAACAACTTAATGTTGGGTGAAGTCATGACTAACAGTCAAGTCCTCTAGTGTAGGACATCACAAAGCTTGAAGAAAATAAGAGATACGGTACGTTAGTGATAACCAATATTATGATGGTGCATTTGGATTAGAGAAACAAACGTTATACAGCGCCTGTAAAGTAATTAAACATTTCAAGGTGCTTCACAGAGCATTACAAAGTAACATTTTACTCCAAGGTGCCCAAGGCTGGTTGTGAGGTAGTTTTATATACTGCTGAAAGAGGTGATTGATGATGGGGAGTAGTGGTTTAGGAAGAATTTGGAGCTGGGATTTCTTGGAGTTGTTGGACTGGAGGAGATTGCAAAGATAAGGAGGGCCAAGGCCATGGAACAGTTTTTGAAAACCAGGATGAGAATTTTAAAATTGAGGCATTGCTTAACCTGGAAAGTTGAATTGGATGAAATAAAAATTGAAGCAAGAATTTTGTCTGTTCTCAATGTGGCAATATTGAAGTCATTTGACATGATGACGTAAGGAAAAAGGAAGGTGAGGTCATGCCTTACAAGTTTATTAGAATTCTTTGAGGAAGTAACAAGCAAAATAGATAAAGAGAAATATGTAGATATAATACAATATTTTTGGATTTCCAAAAGGTGTTCAATAGGATACTATGTATAGGCCTACTTAGACGAAAGCTAATAGTGTTGAAGTTAGTATGTTAGCATGGATAGAGGATTGGCTAACTAATAGAAGACAAGAGTTAGGATATAGGGGACGTTTTCGGGGTGACACCTGCATCTGGTGGAGTCCTTCAGCATCAGTGCTGGGGCCACAACTTTTTACAATATATCTAAAAGATGGATGTGAATGTATAGTCACCAAGTTTATGGATGGCACAAAATAGGTGGAGAGGCAATTGGTGAAGATGACACAGTTCATAGAGGGATGTAGACAAGTTAAGTGAGTGGGCAAAATCTTTGTAGATGGAATGTGCTGCGGGAAAATGTGAAGTTATGCTTTTTGTCAGGAAGAAAAGAAAAGCTTGAATATCAGTTGAAGAAAAACTGCA